AGGCGAAAATCCGCGGGAGGCTGAGCCCCAACGGGCGGTCTGACTGTCCGGCGCAGTGTAGGAGGCAGGGTTGGCAGGCTGTCCCCAGCCTCGGTGTGGTGATGATGATGACACATGGCCTGTGCCAGTTCCCCGGCCAGCTAGTAAAACTGTGGCTGTTTCTGGGCTGCGTGGGTCGTCACCCCATATGTTGGCTGGCGCGGCCGCGTCTCCGGCGGCGGCGGTCACGCATGTATTGGCATCCCCGCGCCATCCGCCCCCCAGCAAAACATTGCCAATGTTGCCGGGCTCGCGCTCGGCTAAGCGACCAGGGCTGCGCGTGCGGCCCAGCAGCTCATCATGTTGCTGCAGTGTGCGTGGAATTTGGCCGTTCAGTGGTTGAAGTAAAAGAGCACCCCTGCCAAGCCCGAGCCGTACACGCTCAGAAGAGAACTGTAGTGAGTAACTGAAGACTCGGGATGGCAAACCCTACGGAATCGGCTGCAAGACGGGCGACCTCGAATCGAGCGAGGGTTGAATCGTTTCTCTCGCGCTGTTCGGGCCTGAAATTGATAAACGCAGTTCCTGACGTGAGTTGGCGTTCATCGTCTAGGTTCCCGAATATGGCGCTGAGGAGAAGCATAATGTATGTCACAGGGTCCGTGTGGACCCCTTGTATAGTCAAGCCGCAGCTGATGATCGGCGGGGGGGTCGCATCGCGATACGGACAGCTACCCCACCTACGCCACGCTGCAGGTACGCAGACTGTTGTTGTGGGGTCATGCGGGCACTGGTGACATTAACCCACGCATGACCTGTTCGAGTGAACTCGAAGATCGATGCGTTTCCCGCGGGGTCCCTGAGAGAAAACCTGGTGGTATTGTCGCCTCCGTCGTTGTGGCTACCACGGCGCATGCAACCAATAGCGCAACTGATGCATAGCCACATGGAATCATGTACACCAAATTGTTGGTAATGTTTCAACGTTTGGTTGTAGTTGGCGTTGGGGATCGTATTTGGTGTATCTGTCGGCGTGAGTCGACGCAACGGCTGTGGAGACACGTCCCCGTGCTGATCTAGGGATGACGGCGAAGCGTTCCTGCGCAACGTCGATATAATAGCTTGTTCCCAAGCGCATCATGTGTCGGAGTGCAGTGGCGTAGAAGCCGTGGCGTATACGCTGCTAGTTTTGGTCATGCGGTTGTCGCACATGGGGAAATACCGTTCCCACTATTGGCGCTTCCGTATGCCAGCCAATAATTACGCTGTGGCATCGCAGTGGTATTGGCGGCATACCATGCCGTGCCGAAGGGGTAAGAATGCGATTGACAGAGCTGACCACACGCGAGCGGGGCCAGCTCCGCTACCAAGCCAACACTGAACTTAACATCGTGGGATGTAGAAACGGTTATACATGATATATGCAGGAGTAAAACTCGCTCCGATGCAGTAGCGGATCGATAGCTGCGATTACGATCGGGGCAAATAGAGCACCAGTCGCTTGCACAATAAACGGCGGCGCGGACGTTCGTTTACTCGCTTACATGTTATCCAGCCCTCCGACCTTCGTTCAGAATCAATCGACGCTAACCGGCGCTGAATCGACGGTAGCCGACGCTTGCCGATGCCAAATCGGCGCTGGTTCATCGACTCCCAGACGCTGGTCGACGCCAATCGACGCCGCAGACGGAATTAAAACGGGAGACCGAACTCCCACGACTTGCTTCCGAACGCTCCTGGAGCAGGACAAGCATGTTGTATTCCAGATGCGTCAGGGACTTTCACGAATATCCAGCGGCCCTCGTTTCTGCAGCCACTGCGTCGGGGAGACGCAAGATTCGGGTTCGGGGGACTCGGGTTAACCTGACGGGACCGTCAAGAAAACGACGAGAACCAGTCTGAACGTTGACGCGCGCTCCCGCTGCAAAGCACCCCACGAAAACCGAGCCGTCAAAAGTCGGAACAGGTCCGCCCAAAAGCGTCGGCGAACCCGCGTTCTGGCGAACTCGAATATCAAGAGGCATCCGAGATGGGGTCCGAATATGTGGGGTCGAAGGATCGCGCCGCATCGCCAATACATCGCCGAAATATCGGCGATGCATCGGCGGCGTCGGCGATGCATCGGCGACGTCCGCGCGGAGAAGATTGGGCTCCTCATCAAGCCGCATCGGCGATGCATCGGCGATGCGGCGCGATCCTCCGACCCCCATCTACACTCGGACCCCATCTAGGAGGCCTAGAAACTTACGTTTCCCCGACTGTGGAGCAGCAAGAAACCCAGGAAATCCGGGAAATCCTGGATGAGCATCGTCTAACCGACCCCTGTCCCCCCCCGGCGCGGCCTGGGCCCCACTGGCCGACTCGCCCCCCGAGATGGGGACTGAGGCTGCTCCCTTCGGGCTCCGAGGGGTACATCCCAAACTGGCGTGGTGAGATGGTGGGGCTCGGGATGGGGATGGGGACCAGTCAAGCGATCCTGAGAACTCCAGGCACATCCTTCGGAGGGCACCAACTATACACCAACACCGATCCTGGCCCAGGATCACCCTGGGCCCAGGATCGGTGTATATGCCTTCTTGCCCAAGGCAGGAGGGTGTATACACCGATCCTGGGCCCAGGGTGATCCTGGGCCAGGATCGGTGTTGGTGTATAGTTGGTGCCTTCCTAATCCTGGAAATCCTGGAGCGCATCGTTCTCATGGCCCTCTGCTCCTCCGGGGGAGGGCGCCAGCACCAGTGCCTGCGCCCGGCCCACAGAGCCCCCAAGAGGCTATTGGGGGGGCGCGGAGTGGGGGGGGGAGGCGATAGGGTTAGGTCGGGCATGTCCTCCAGCAGGCGGATTTTGGAAGAAACATGAAAAATGAGGGCAAATATTTTAGAAAAGCCAGAAATAAGTATAAAAAGAAACGGACAGGCCCGACTTAACGATGGGGGCCCTTTTCGGGCCCTAGAATGAGCGAGCAATGGCTATGTACATGTACGCCCTCCGCGGTCTTGCGTGCACGAACCTCCGCGTTCAAGCGCCTTCCAGCGGAAGCTGGCCGCGTACGTGTACATGTGTTGTTGGCCTCTGAGACAGGCCCCGCCTTGCTCTCCTAAAAGGACCCCTTTAGGGGCCCTGCAGGGCCCCGTTCTGCAGCCCTCGCTGCCCCCCGTGCTTCTCCCCCCCTTACGCGTCCTCCGGAAGCATAGGCAAACCCGAGTTCCGGCGAACTCGAGTCTTGCGTTTCCCCGGCAAGCATCGCTGGAGGGCCCCAGTAGATCAGGGGTTGCTAGACAGGTACCCCTGGCCAAACATGCCCCCAACTCTTCGCTCCAATTTGGAGCCCCTGGGGCCTCGTGAGGGGTGCTCTGGAGGCCGGGGGGGTATCTTTGGCAATTCTGGGGGCACCTTGGGCCAGGGGCACTTCTAGCAGCACCCCGTTGAACCCCAAGAAGCAAGGGCTCAAGAGACGGGGGTCAATGCCATCGGGGGTCAGCCAAGGCGCCGGATCTTGCAGGATCCTTCAGAACCACGGGTGTATTGACCCGGGCTTCGGTGCAAAATGTTGCAGAATCACGCCAAATCTTGCAAGATCCTGCAGGGCCTGACTGACCCGGGTCAGTCGACTTACGTCGGGCATGTCGCCCTACAGGCGGATTTTGGACGAAAGCCAGAATAGTCCAAAAATTACCAAACATTGTCAAACAAATACTTTAGGCGGGGCGAACAGGGCCATCCAGAAGGTGGGCCGTCGAAAGGGTGCATGGAACGGCTTTCGGGGAGGCGTTCCAAGATTTCTGGAACGCCTTTCCGCCCAGCGTTCGGAGCAGTTCGGTCGCCTCGGCCCACGGCCCGCTACCGCGTCGACATGGAGACACCTCGAAGCGGGATCAGGCCGCACGAGTGAAGCCAAATTGTCTGCGAGGGGCAGCCTTGGAACTGCTGTTCTGCCACCCTCTCTCCTTCTCGTCCTGTGTGTGCCCGTCGACCGCCGCGCCCTTTCTATGGCGCCGAAGTGGCCACTTCGCCTGCTCTGCCCCGTGCACGCTCCCGTGCTGGCCCTCCCCCTGCCTCCGCCCACCGCGCAGCCCCTTGCCCCCTCCGCCGCCACCTCCCCTTTTCTCCCTTCACTCCCCTTTTCGCCCCGCGTCGTCGTCGTCGTCGTCGTCGTCGTCGTCGCCCCGCGTCCCACACCAGTGTCGTTCAGCGCCTCACTGATGCTAGTCCGCAACTTACATCTGCCAACCGCGCCCATTTTCTCTCGCACTCTGCCTCCCTCATCCCTCCCCCCCCCCTCCCCCTCCCTTCCCCCAGCTCCCCTGTCCTATTTCGCCTTCCCCCGTCCCCCTTCCCCTTCCCTCCCTCCATTTGCCCCTTTCTTCCAACCTCGTGCTCTCCCGCCCCCACCCCTCCCCATTCCCTCCGCCGCCAGCCCTTCCCGAACGCTGTTCCGGGAAGGCGCGCAGCCCTTCCCGAACGCTGTTCCGCGGAGGCCGAATGCAGGCCCCAAGTGGGCCATCCGTCCGGCTGATGCTCCGAGGCCCCAAGTGGGCCATCCACCCGGCTCCTGGAGGCCGCCCCCCCCGAGGCCCCAAGTGGGCCATCCATCCGGCTCATGCACGCCCCCGACCCTCGCACGCCCTGCGCGCAACCCCCTCGCCGCCCCCAGGCCCCAAGTGGGCCATCCACCCGGCTCATGGAACATCACACCGGGGCACCCAGTACCCCTGCACTGGTCCTGGGCCCCAAGTGGGCCATCCGTCCGGCTGATGCTCCGAGGCCCCAAGTGGGCCATCCACCCGGCTCATGGAACCCCTTCCCAGAGCTCCCTCGGAAAGTTCCGCGCCTCGGGGGAAGGGTACTCGCGCGCCTGGCCGCC